ACAGCTCTCATCCTCAACGTAAGTTACTCATCTATGACACAATTTTCAACACGATTATCGAAAACTTTCATACCAATAAATGAATTTCTGGTGTTCTTTCTTGAATTTCAACCTTACAATATGTATAAGATAACCCAATAAGGAATAATAATATGTTCCTTTGAAAATGATATGTCACACTTATTTCATAATTTAAAATTTTCTAAGATCAATAAAGCATAGATTTTTGAACAAAACATTTAAAACTAATCATAAATTCATCATTTTGTAGAAACTATAAAAAACTTGCCATGCAGTGGAGAATCAATTTAAAATCATAAATAATAATGTAAACATTTAATTTTGACAGTTTCAGTAGACATTTGAATACAATTTTAATATTAACAGCTGGTTCATTAATAGCTGGTAGTGTAAAATTATCCATATGGTCATAATGTAAATACAATTGCTGAGTGAACTTTAAAGGCCTCTGGGGCAGAGCCCCAAGGAAATTTACCTCGTTTCTCTTTTGAGGGCTCACCTACAGACCAATACCTTTCTTTAGACACCCCTACCAAGTTTCTACACCCAGCCGTTCTCTCAAATTAGCTGTGACAAAAACCCCGTTTTCCTCCATAAGAATAACATGGGATGGGACTTTAAAGGCCACTGGGGCAGAGCCCCGAGGGAATTTACCACGTTTCTCTTTTGATGGCTCATCTACAGACCAAGACCTTTCTTTAGACACCCCTACCGAGTTTCTACGACCAGCCGTTCTCTCAAAATAGCTATGACAAAGAAAAACAGTTTCAAATTAGTATATAGATCCTAATAATTTTGCGCTAGAACGATCGTGTAAAGATAGTCCTAAAGGATAATTACGCGATTTGAAAACCATATTATTCTTGGTTTGTTGGTTACTCATCTCTAAATTAAAATTATACACAATTGTAAAAAAAAATGCGGAGATATTTCGAGTTTTCATCAAAACCCATCTTTTACCTACGACCGTTTTTTTTATTTACTAACAATCACTACTCATGACGTCTAAAATAGAAGTTATGTTTTTGTTTATAACCTCTCATTGCCACTAAATTGTGATACAACGACTCATTGTCCCAACCACTCACTCATTGTATAATAAATCAAATTGGGCTTAAGGGTGTTTGGTCGCAAATTTTCGTGTCTGATTTTTTGTTATTGTTTAATTGTACTAAAAATTAGAGATACAAATATATAAGAAAAAAAATTTTATTTTTAATACTAAGCGAGATATGGAGCTTGAAAGTAGTAAACTTTTAAACTTTGGTATCAGTTCACAGGGAGAATGGGTAATGCGATTCTCACCAAAATTTGCATTCAGGTGTGGAAAAATAAGATAATAATCACTAGCTATTTAAAATTAAAAAATTTTAAAAAAATCTTATTTTTTATTTTTATAAATTTTTTTAAAAAAATTTAAAAAGTTTTTTAAAAAAATTTAAAAATAGCTGTTTGTTTTTGGGAAAAATGTATCTGTATGTTGAAATAAAAAAAAGTGATATGTTAACTCGTTTGGGCTGTGAATTCGTACCTTTGATGCCTTGCGCTGTCGCAGCACTACTCGATGAGAGTTTTTACACTAACACCGGGGCTTTAGAATACTTTAACATCACGTAATTATTAACATCCTTTAACATTGAAAGAAGACGTTTATCGTTGTATTCTAAAGCCCCGGTGTTAGTGTACACACTCTCAACGAGTAGTGCTCCGAATGCGCAAGGCATCAAAGGTACGAATTCACAGCCCAAACGAGTTAACATATCACTTTTTTTTTATTTCAACATACAGATACATTTTTCCCAAAAACAAACAGCTATTTTTAAATTTTTTAAAATTTTTTCTTTAATTTTTTAAAAAATTTATAAAAAATAAAAATAAATTTTTTTAAAAAAATTTTAATTTTAAATAGCTAGTGATTATTATCTTATTTTTCCACACCTGAATGCAAATTTTGGTGAGAATCCCATTACCCATTCTCCCTGTGAACTGGTACCAAAGTTTAAAAATTTACTACTTTCAAGCTCCATATCTCGCTTAATATAAAAAATAAAAAAATTTTTCTTATATATTTGTATCTCTAATTTTTAGTACAATTGAACAATAACAAAAAATAAGACATCAAATTTTTGACCAAACACCCTTAACAGCTGATAAGTAAACATTCAAAGCATTACAATTTTACTTCTTTTCTCTCAAATCTCGAACCTCATTGGTTCAAACTTGTATGGAAAAATTAGCAAAACAAATATGTCAAATAAGTAAACAATACTGTAAAGTGCATCTTTTCATTTTCAATTGTAAGAACTGAATTGAAAATTCTCGTTTAAAAAACGGTTGCGGGTAAAATAACTAAAAATATCCTCTAGTGATTTTCTTAGTTAAATGATTACACCGCTTTTAGAAAACGTAACAAATTTTGTGGTTTTGTTATTATTGATATCAAACAGCATGACTTAATAATATGTCTAAAAATTGTAATACTACGTTTGTGATTATAGTGTGAATTCGTTATTAATAACTGCCTAAACATATTCTGTCTGTAATTTGTATAAACAATACATATTATACATATAGAGGCCGTATGTTTAATAATATGTCATTGTGTATGCAAATGCAGGAAACTACTTATACTACTACGGATAAAACATACCCTCTTAAGTTAAATTATATGGGATGCAGTGTGCCTTTGAATTTTACTAGGCTTTCAATTTACTCCACAAGGTTGAAAATTGTTTCACTTACAGTAACAACACATTTGACATTCCGTTTAAGAACAATTAGTTGGCCTATATATAAGGATGGAAAATCTACTTTAAATATCTGCAAATGTATCTACTCAATATACAAGAATATAAGGCATCCCAATCAACTGTAACATTCAAATTATAATATTTTATTTTATTTGGGAAGTAAAAGTTATCATTTAAACAAATTTCCCGTCTTTTGTAACGTTTAACAATGACTAGCATAAAAAATAACTATACACATTTATAATTTTCAGTTTACTAGTTTATTATAAATTATAAGAGTCAAAGAACTATAATTTATTTCAACCTGAAACACATCCAGCTATGTAAGATAAATGGATAAATATATGTGGATTTATGAGGAGTAAAACATTACACAATCATCAATCGTATAGTTTGTATGTTAGTTTTGGTGAGATATGTCGAAATTAATGTTTCGTCCAAATGTTTACTACATTATATTCTGGATGTAGATGTAACGGACACAAGCTACGTGCTTCTAGTTTCAGTCGGACGCGGGAAACACTCAGAATACTAAAGCACTTCCGTGAAATCAATACAACATCAACTGGGCTGTTTACGAATTCTTAATTTCTGTTAATATAACTCGACTAAATTATAGACAACAGTAATACCATACTGAACAATTCAATGTATAAAATATATCAAGTTTGTTTCACGTAAGTTATTTTGTATGATTGGTAAAATAACGAGTAATACAGTATTTTAAACTAGAAATAATGATTTTATAACATCTCATATATTTTCTTATTATGTAGTTTAGTTTTCTTTCAAAACAAATATGACGTAAATAATATATGTATACTAAATATAAATATATTATAATATACATTCATTTTATATATATTTTCACGTTTTTACTTTTCACGTGATTCAATTATCACAGCTTTTGAAAAGAATCTAAAACTAATCATGTGATTTGTTTACCCTTTTACATGAAAAACCAAAATATTGAGAATTCATACAAAAATATCTAAGCACTTTATGTTGATAAATTTGCAATATAATATTTTTACTGGAACAAATTGCCTAATACACTGAATTGATATGAATAATATTTGCTCATAAACCAAAACCCAATATTAGTGGTGCTGGGTTGTTTGCATATCGTGACGCTGACAAACAAATATTTAAACAATGCATTATAGATACAATACATTAGAATATGGAAAGATAATTATTCATGCATAAATTAACAATATTTTGAGAACTATTAAATTACTAACAATATTATAACTTATTAACAATTTGTAACTATATTTATGTTATAATTTTTATAATGCTTAAAAATTTATAAAAACTAGTTATAATTATCACACAAGAATTACTGTCCAAAACTATAAAGAAGTATACAAAAATGCTTTCTACTATATAAGGTCGATACAACAAGATGACTATATGATTAGCCCAAATTCTCATGGCATCTAGATTCAACCCAAATTCTATTACGGCTGATCTCTTTTTGATTATTGTATCTATTCGATAAAGGCAACCTTAATTCAAATACATTCGACTTTATGGTGTTATACCTTCAATCACTATACTGTTGTGCAACTACTGCACTGGCTTTGAGAAAAATATACTTATTTAGATTTAAGTTACTTTAAACATTAACTCGTCCTGGTCAATTCAACTGTTAATAACCCATACATACAATGCATATGGTTTCAAAATAAGTTATAACCCGTTTGAACCAGTACATAACCCTACATTCCTCTGTTCAAACACCAATATGCAGTAGACTTGAATTACTATTCAACCCTAGTACTTTTGTTTTTTATGTTTTTCAACGAATATTGGATTGGATGCCAGTCAATTATCAGAGTATTTTGATTTTGCTGAATATAATGAACATTCAATAGGAATGGGTTTTCTATTAGGACGTTCGGTTGCAATGATTATTCAATCCATATACCCTTGATCGCTATGTTTAATCAACAACTAATAAATATTGAATAGAAACGATTATCACTTGACATTCGATGGCGCATATTATTCAACACACCTGTTATCGATTTCTATGTTTTGTCAACAATTGTTAGCAACTCAATAGGGTTGATTATCACTTTACATTCGATTATGCCGAACATTCAACACATGATCTACTTACTGGTTTTAAAACCAACAACTTAAAAACACTCGATAGTACTTGTTATTCGAATATTCGATTGTATTCGATAATTTGGCTACATTAAACTATTATTGTTTCAGCCAAGCTGGATGGAGTGAAGACCTACATGCGGATGAGAAGAGTTCCGAACCATCTTCAGGTGAAAGTAATCAAATGGTTCGACTACCTGTGGCTCACACAGAAGTGTTCTGACGAGGAGAAGGCAGTCAGCTGTTTACCAGGTGATCAATCATTGTTGCCAACTGATACGAAATTAATATATAACAAATGCTGTAATACTATGGATATGTAATAAACTGACGCCAAAGATTTAGAGTCAAAGAAATACACTGTACACTGTGTGCTGTTACACGACCACTTGGATTATCAACATTACAGGTATTTAAACCACTTTAATTACAGAAATAGATTGTACTTGACTGGATCTGCTGTGCAGCTTTAGATCTGGTCTGCTCTTATGCAAATAAATTAGCACGTACTACTTTGTCAAATTTAGTTATAAGGTCTTAAATATATTTTCAATTTGACTATTTAAAATTAAAATAGCTTATTAGACATAATATGTTTTCTTACTAAACATAAGGTTGACAATTCAATTTAGAAGTATACGTAGCCATTTTATAAGCAATGAGGATTTCCTTTAATACTTAAAAATTAACTTACCTTTTATTTTTTCTTCCAAATAGATTTTGTTATATTTTACGTACTTTTAATTTTACATGTGAACTTCAAACTGTTTCATTAAGTAAATTTGACTTTTCACCACTTTCCATTTTTTGATACAATACTTAAGATTATGTCGGGCATTCATTTGTATTGTGTAACTGTAAAATTTACGCAAAATCAAAACTAACAAAACGAAATACTTAAAGACAAATAATAACGTTTTCCAACGACCACATAAACTTTTAACATTTGTTTTCAGTGCAAGCCTTAGTTTGAAACGCCCAATAACCCTGAAAGTGGAAGACTCTGCATACTTAGTGGAGATCAGCGTTCCTTTATTCTTGAAACTCTGTCTGCCCTACTTAGTTAAATTGCTACTGTGTTCAAAGTGTTTATCCATTTCAACTTAACTTGAAAAATATAATCTCCAAAAACTCCAATATAAAAATAATAATATTGCTTCTTATCAAACGTTTGATGAGTTTTTGCGATTAAGAAGGTTTAAAAGGGTTGGTTTAAAGAACATAATATTAAAGGATAAACTTGAATGAACCTGGAGTGACAATACTATTTCAGGCCCAAGCGATGAAATACACTTTTTCATCCTAGGTAGATAATGTTTTGGCAAGACGGGGCAAAATAAATTTAACCCAATCACCATAGCTTTTTTGTGAGGTAATATCAACTTATAATTGCAGTTGAACTATTTTAATATTACTAATCTTGTGGTGTTATTCTCAGTATAGTTTGGAGTATTTCTTTCATCCCTTCCTAAAAGTCAATTGACATAACCTTTAAGGTTTTAAATTGTTCTTATATTCACCTCTTTCTTTGTTATAGTTTGCGTGGAAGAAGTATTTATTTTTAGTTACTCAAATTACCTAATTTGAGTTAACTTTTAACAAGCACCACACATTAAACAAAATTTTAAGAGAGCCATTTTCAGAGGGAGCGAATATGACGAAACCAAAAAAAAAGCTTGGGACTCATTTGCATGGACTCTTCAAAAAGCATGATGTACCAACGTTAAGCAAAACAAAACAAAAATAAAAACTACAACAATTTGTACGATATGATTCATTGACAACATTCTTTAACAACTGTGTTCTTCCTGTTTCAGACAAGTTGAAGGCTGAAATCGCCATTAACGTTCACCTGGACACTCTCAAGAGGGTGGAGATCTTCCAGAACACCGAGGCAGGCTTCCTGTGTGAGCTCGTCCTCAGACTGAGGCCTGTGTTGTTCTCTCCCGGGGACTATATCTGTAGAAAAGGTAAACTCATACAATTATTTTATATACATGACTGATTGGGGTTTAATGGAGGATTAAAGGGAGTCAAGACCAGGATCATCCTCAGGTTGAATCAGAGATGTGAAGGAAAATTATGTATAGATGTTACATCAAAGGTTCTGTTGTTTAATTAACAATTATTTGTTGCTTTCGTTGCAAGGGATTATTGGGGGTATTTTCCTTATCGATTAGTTACAACTATCGCATAGCGTTTCGTAATCTATAAACTATCTCGACATCAGATGAAGAAGTGCAGTACCTAAAACATAACATGATTAGTGTTCAACCAAAGCTAGAAAATTACCAAAATAAAACTTTCACATACAAGTGAATAGTGATAAACAAGAAACATAACTCCTTAAGAAAACAATAATTAGTAGAAATTAAGGTAGGCAATCGCAATAGGCGTAACCATAGACGACGCTGCTGCCTTCCTCTCTACATACTTACTAACTAGATTCAAGATACCACTTCAAGTTTATGTGTGTTTAATTTTGATTTAAATATCATCACTAACCCCTTGTTAGACATTTTATATAACCTGGGACCCCAAGTGCTCAGTTCAATTAAAGATTCGCAGATACTCATTAGTTTATTAATTTCTTTGGAGCTACTAATAGATCCGGTACTTCAAGTTAATTTACTTCACATTTCATCTTTTACCAAGCTACAAAATGGTGGATCAAGTAGTCTCACTTCATATTTCAGTCTAAATTGATGGAAATTGCGTCTGGGTCCAAAATTAACGCCATTGATCAAACCAGCAGTCTTCATATCTTGAGGGGAGCATAGATTCTAAAAGTGACAGCAGTAGTTATTGACGTTGAGCGGTAAACTGTTAGTTTTTACTGTGTTCACATAGTTTTTTTTTTAAAGTTTTGTACGTTTTCATTATTTCTTCACAATTATCTTTGACTGACCTCTGGAGTATGTTCTCTGCAGGGGAAGTGGGCAAGGAGATGTACATAGTCAACCGAGGCCGCCTACAAGTTGTCGCCGACAACGGTAGGACTGTCCTGGCCACTCTCAAAGCAGGATCTTACTTTGGCGAGATCTCCATCCTGAACATGGGCACCGCAGGTAAACAGCTGGGTAAATATGCCATCCATCCATTCTCCCTTCCTTCTTACTTCTTTATCTATTTCGTCTCGCATGGTATTCGCTGTTTTCCAATTTGATTGTAGTTTGGAATTGCCAATATTATAGTAGTTTGTTGTCCTAGGACGCTAGGCACGAGCCCGGGATTGTTTTCACATAACTTCAGGAGTTGCGGCATTATCACTTTTCGAATTACTTAATTTCTTAACCTTTATTGTAGTACTAAAATTGTATTTGACGGAGGTGATATTTCTTCACCTTTTACAATATCTATCAAAGTCCCGACGTTAAATGTTTCAAATTTATACTTGTAATATTTTATATTGCTTTTAAGTTCACAGAATAATTTGTGATACTCTAAGTTTTTTGAACGAAATGGATTCGAACGATGATGTTTGAGGAAATATTTTCCTCCTTGATTTTATTTTTGTATTTAAAATTGTTGTGAAATTTTTAAGGTGTGGAATAAAGTATACAACAGTAACAAATACAACGTGTAAAATTATTTGTCCTTATCATTTTTCACTGCATGTTCTGTTCTACATTTTCTTAACTCTTTTTAACAATATATTTCACGCATCGTTAAGTAGCCCTCTTTCTCTACTTGCTTCTCTCTATTTTTATTATTCATTCTTACACCCTAAATTGTCTTTCATAAAATCTTTACTATACTTTTAGTTAACAGACAAATATAAAAACTGTTACTTAACAACTAATCACCTCATGAAATAAATTTGTAAGTTATTAAAAAATCTAAAACGTTTAAAATTTTAGTTTCTTATTTTCTAAAAACCTATCTAAAGTTTAATTTAAGTATACGGATACCGTTGCCGGTTTTCGATCTAAATTTTCCTTTTCCTAAATATTCCTGATTTCTCAACCTTACCTATCCACATAATATAAACAGAATAAAATAGTCTTAACTATTAATATAAATATACTCATATAATAACTTTATTTAAGTTTTAATAAATATTTACCATGCTTTAGCTATTTCCTGTGTAAAAATCGTACCTGTTTTTTGTGTGAAAAAGGATTTAGATTACAAAACTTCAAATACCTAAAACTATACAAAAGATCTCATAAATCATAAAACAGTTACAAAGCTTGATGATAATTTAATGTGAGTTGAAAACTCAAGATATAATCAAGCTCCAGAAGTGCAAGATTAAGGGATTCATAATCGTGTTTTTGGATTAAACATGACAAACCTTTGTTAAGTGTTTAATTGTAACTTTGCATGTACTTCTAGTCTTGTTGTTTAAAACAATTAATTTTAAAATACTATTGATTATGATGAATTGAACTTTTCACTTGAGCACGATTTAGTTGTATTTCTTTTTTGATATTTCAAAATAAATATTCATTTATTGCAACGATTTTGTTTAAGTAAATATGTTTTGATTTTAAGTGATTATATCAATATTTTTTTTTGTTTTTTAAACTGTAAAAACTGCAAGAAAACTATGATTTTTGGAGGAAAAAACACAACAAGTCTTATCTATACTACTTCTGAATCCTGGATATAGATGAAAAGTTTATGCCGAAAAGATAACCTTTATTTTTAATGGTGTTGCCTTGTGAATTATTTAACAATTAATACTATAAAGTTTAAATAAATACCTTGTTAACAATGTAACCCTTTGTCGTAGGAATAGTGACCGGTTTCAATACTCTAAGGTGTCATTGTCAAGCATGAGATAAATTTATCATATACAAATATATGTAATTTATTAATTCATCAATAGTCCTTGGTAGTAATTGCAGTAGCGCCTATAAAAAACAAACGAGTACTTGCCTAAGAGTTTATTTTAATTGACGAAAACTTTACTCCATTGTCCGTGGACCTATCGACAGTAAATTCGGGTTTGTTGTGTTTTACTACCCACCCTATCCTCCAGGCAACCGAAGAACGGCGTCCGTGAGGTCCGTGGGCTACAGTGACCTCTTCGTCCTCTCCAAGAAGGACATGTGGGACGTGCTGAAGGAGTACCCAGCGGCGAGAGTCAGACTGGAGGCAATAGCGGTCAAGAGACTGGAGAAATACAAAAGGGCGCCTTTAGAGAAAGGTATGTACACAACTGGAGTATGCGATCATTGTTGGTTGGTCATGGGAGGAGTTTTTGGTTCCGGCCATGGAGTCCGTAGCCACCCTTCCCTTCGAGAGTAGAAAATATAAAATAGTCTCTATCCCGGAACTGAATGCAAATTACTTCAGGCTAGGCTTAGTGGGACGAGGCTTTGTTACTTAAAATCAATTGTTGTTTGGCAAGATTTGAACCCTGAACCTCCTGGACCGAGCCCCCGTGATCTACCCTTAGACCAGCCTGCACTCCGTATATATCTTTAATCATAAAATGAATTAAATACATTTCATGCTTAACTTACTTACTTACTTAATCCTGTCCTCTTCTACCGGTTGGTGTCGAGGTTACAAGGTGCCTCCATGACTTTCTGTCTGCAGTGAGTGGTAGAGCTTCACGAATGGAGCTGCCCCTCTCACGCAGAGCATCCTCTATCTCTTCCTCCCATTTCCTTCTCGGTCTACCTCGACTTTGACCTCTTTCATCATCTTCGTAAGCCGAGTTCATGCTTAAATGTAACTTAAATACTCATTGAGGGGGTGGGAGAGTAAATTTAAAAAATATACCCATTGCTTTACAAATTTATCCTTGAGCCTTATAAGCTTTTTTTTTACTTGACTCCAGAGCAGGTTTTACGTCCAAACATCAATTACCGTTAGGCCTAAATTGTAGTGAAACTTAAATAAAATACGTTTAGTTACCTTGTTTTGTTATGTAGGGCCCAAAAAATATATGAATAAATAAAAATGAAGACGTCTAACCCAACTTCATTTGACAATGAACAACTTTTTTTCTTTCACTAGCTAACATAAACATTTACTGTATGATTGTCAATATACCAATTACCAACCAACATTTTAGTGATAAGCATGAAAGCCGTTGAGACGTCATCAAATTAGTGGCTAAAAATAGTGTAGGTAAAATACCAAAACATCCATGTGTTTGCATACAAACAGCTGATTAATGATAAAGAGGGCAGACAGAGGAAAATGTTTTGCATAAACTGTATGTTGATAAAACCTTCTACTATAGATATACACTACTAGAATGGCAAACATTTCATTACAAAATCAATGCAAGACTTTTTAAATTAGAGTTACACTTTCACAGATAATATTCATTAAAGTAGACGTTTGTGTTGTGTCAATCATAATACAACAATATAAAGAACATAAATGAAGCAGCCTAATGTGACGAGCTAATTATAATTTTGGTTTAGCTTCTACTTATTAACAATTTTTCTCAATATTTATTTAGAATTTAATACTAATTAACCCATAAAAACACAATAAATCTCTAATGAATCCGTGTAACAAGAAAGTAATTGATACATATTGTTGTTCCAGGTGTTTTCATTGCTGGTATGTATGAATTATTTCCAAATTAGTCGATACTCACAATCAATTAATGAAAAATGTTTTGAATATTGCACTAAAAGAGATTGATATTCAAGTGTTGCAGAATTTATTGGAACGAACATAAAATTGACAACTTCATATATGGAACTATAATAAATATCGAATATCACTTTTATTGAATGTTATCATCCAAATTAGTGTACCAATAAAAGTCAAGTAATCTGTATTCCATATCAATTGTTTGAACGTATTAGTTATCTGTGGCTTTGGCACGCTTAATATTTTATTATTTGTTGGATATTGAACAGTAGGCATACCCTATAGAATGAGGCATAAATAAACGGTATGAATGTCATGACCCCGCTGGCGCTTTGGAGTCTAGCCCGCACAGTAATTATTAGAAGTACCTGTTTTTTGTTATCAAACCTTCTCAATTCTTTCTAATTAAACATCATACGACTCACTCCCACGCACGGGTTATCCCATGTGGGATTAATTTCGTTAATTTTTAGTTATACATTTTAAAACCTATTTCCATTGCATATATTACATTTTGTAAATATTGTCTATTTTATACGAAATAAAGGATTTTGATTTGATTTGATTTGGTATCAGTATTCTGACAAGTAGTTTCTCCCATAAGCTCGTCAACAACCTTTATCATGGGTAAGCAGTGAGAGTAAACCACTACTTTTTAGTTAAAAATCACAAAAGTTGCAATAACTTTTGAACCGTAATTGTTACAGCAATGGGGTGTTGTACTATTTTTTTTTTAGAATTATATGACCATAACATATTAATTTGGATCAAAACCAGCTTTTCTCCAAAAACTTGATTTTTTGGTTATTTTGCGGTTTTTTTAATGGGAAAATAACATAAGTTACATTAAATTTTTAAACGGAAATTAATACGGAAATGGGATTTGTACCATTTTGTTCAAAATTTAAAGGACTATAACGTACTACATTTTTAAGAAAATAGTTCTGGCCATTTTCGAGAAAATCCGATTTTCCATTATTTTATTGGGTTTTATGGGAAAATTCCTATTAAAAATCAAAATTTCCATAAAATGAATAAAACGTTCAAAGTTTTAAGGACCATTACATACCAAGGTAAATCAAACCCGACTTTTATCTAAAACCCAATTTGTCGGTATTTTATAGGGGTTTTATGGGAAAATAACATAATTTACAGTATCTTTTGAACCATAATTTTTACAGAAATGGGAGTCGTACCAGTTTGTTCAGAATTTAAAGGGATACCACATATTCCATTTTTATCATAATCGTTCCGGCCATTTTTGAAAAAATCAGATTTGTCCGTTAATTTTATAGGTTTTTATGGAAAAATCAACATTAAAAATCAAATTTTAAAATAAATTTTAAAAACACCTGGAGATACCATGAATTAGAACCTACACACCAAATTTCATCGAAATCGGACCACAGGTGTAGTCCCTAGCTCTGTACACATCCAGACACACTGACATCACTTCGAAAACCACTTTTTTGGGTCCAGGGGGACCAAAAACGGATATATCCACTCAAAACTCAAACTCGAAGATTTTGAGGAAAACAATACTTTCTCCATATACTATGGTATAGGGGGAGAAAGTAAAAAGACGAGTTTTAGGTTGGTTGAGTTAAGGTAAACGCAATTGTGAGTTATTAATAAACAAACAAACTCTGTTTACATGGACGGGCACCATCAAACGATGTTGGTTTTGGTTTGGACGGTGTTGAACTTAACTGAGTTCCAATTTGTTTTAATTTCCCTTTGGCAATTGAATTTGATTGCCCATTCAAACATGGTTGACCTGGTTTCCACTCGGTAATTATTAATGGTAGTGTCGATAAGTTATTCTGTTTGGAGGGGACGCGAATAGAGTGAACACTATTCATGTCAGTAAAGCTATGTAGCTTTGTTCTATTTGTGACTTAAGTATTAATAGAACATTAGAAACTTTATGGGGAAGAATAAAAATTATGAACCAATTCAAAATAATATCATCTGTAGTTGAAACATTTATGTTTGAAAAGGTTTTCACATTAGTATACATGTCTAACCTAATTACATGTCGAATTTACTATATATCGAACCAATTTAACATACAGTAGCATAATTATTTGTGAAAGATATCAACTGCATTTTTTAACACTTCTCAAGATGTGTGCATCTTAAATCTACTTTTAACGAATCATAGGTATTATAATGGTATAATCCATACCAAAGTAGATAGGATAGTGTCAATAAAGCAGTTATTTATGAGTTTTCTATGAAAAATATTTAAAATAATACCTATTGAATAAAAATAATTAAATTTTAAAACGACGATTATCTCCAAATTACCCCTGAGTGACTCAAAAGTTGCTTAAAAATAAAAATAAATACTTAACCTCTGCCACACAATGTTAGTATTAAAATCCCACACCATTTCTGTGGTTTAACACCTAGTTCATTTTTAAATGTAAGCTTAATATACTGGGTGTCCATAAAAAACGTTTCAGTACTTTGGGAAATGAATCCTCATATTAAAAGGAAGAAAATAGTTTATGTAAAGGTATGTCTGAAAATGCATATTTATCCACATATCCGCTATTCTGTTTTTTATACAAACATATTTTTATCTGTGAATTATTTCATTCGATGATTATGAAATTTGGTAATCATGTTAACATAAACAAGACCTATTATGGAAAAAATAATAAAGTTGGTCCGATAGTAAATTTCAAAATGGCGACCGTTTGAATTTATATAGATTAAATAACTCAAAAATTGCTAATTCTATGAACAATTTAAGGAATACTTTTTTTAGCATTTGTTATTTCCTTTCAAAAATATCAAGATCACAAAATATGAAATATCACGTTTTGGTGTAAAAATAATGCAAAATTAGTCGGGGAACACTTAATTTAACGTTTTTAGTTAACGTATATGTTAACTAAAAGTAACAACTTAAATAGCTTAGGGAGCGTATAAGCAATGTTATTACTTATATATAGGATTTTTGAATATCCTATACAAAACTAGACAGTTTTTTTTAACTTTCTAGTTTTGTATAGGCTATATCAACAGTTTCATGTGGTGAAAAATCTAGCACTGTAATTCTACCTTAGCGAATTCAAAAATACGATTGATAATCTGATTTTGAGTCGTCAGATACATTAAGAACACAAAAGCAGCTTTATGGACACATACATTTCACATCAAAACGTATAAAAACTAAGTAGGCCTAGGCTTACCTTACACTTCATCTCGTCACGTTTGTCAATAAGAGCCATCTTAAAAGTTATGTGAAAGATAACGCTAAACAACTGTTGATACGAGTTGCCTTAATAAACTATGTTTATCCATGAATAATGTACAGGGTGCGGAAAAAACCCCGAACTATTTTCTGCAGCGCACTGTTCAGCGACTGATCGTATGAGAGTGGTAAGGGTAGGCTCGTTGGAAAGCCTACACGATGTTATTATCTAAAGTCATTTACCAGTGGTCACCTAAGCAACTCGGGTTTGTTATTGAGTCGTTTAAAAAACGTAATGATTCAGTAATTGCAACTCAACGGCATTTCCGTGCATTTTGTTTTATTAGGTCGACATGGAGAGGTTCCGTTGCAATTATCTGTTGGATTATCAACAATATTAATACAAATTAATCTGTAGGGATAAGAGTTAAGTTCGAACCTCAAAATTAGTGTAAACGAGCGGTCAGACATGTTCAAAGCAGATGCTTGTTTTCGGGCAGGCCTACGAGGACTGTTTCATAGCAGCACGAACTCTACCGAATGTTACTTGTCTGGTGTCTGATCCGACTTTAGACGGCCTGTCAGCATCTTTTTCGCAGAAGCTTTTGTTCTAAAGTTGGTAACCCAACACATGGTTGTGCTACGCGAAGGAATCCACCTCGCCCTAATTAAAAGAATGCACGAAACTTCCGCTGCTGAGCTGCAATGACTGAATAATTACTTTTTTCAATTCGACTAGATAACAAACGAACGCTGCTCAGGTGACCACTGCTCTATGGCCACGATGTCATCGTGGAGGCTTTACAACGAGCCTACCCCTACCACTATCGGAGGACCTGCGGCCGGAAAAATGAATCGGGGTTTAGTTTCTGTAGTGCATTCAGATTGAAAAATAAGTTTTTCATTATCAAATATGTATTATAATCTTAAACAGTTATTTTTGATCTTGTTTTACAAGAATCTAAACTACGATTTTTAAAATGTCACAAGTTACCCTTACGTTTAAAACGCATTAAACACGTATTTGTTATTATTTCTGATTTGTCTTCCAGCGGCCATGGGCAGGAGTCAGTCCACGCCTGGCCTGGTAGAGACTAAGGGGCGAGTACCCCTGGAGGAGATGTGGGTGTCACCACTGCCTCCTCTAGATCCTGTACCTCCTCTCTCGGCCGCCACCTCTGGGCCTCCGCCCTCCGCCTACACCTCTAACTCGCTCTTCAGCCCTGCGCTGAGTCCCACGACAGCTAGGTAAGTATCTTAAACAATATTTGAATGTTTGGAATATGTCGGTGGTTTAGGGTTAAAGCATCTGTCCATGGCGTAAGAAAGACGGGTTTGATACTAAAAAGTGTGAAGTAAAATGTGAATAAGATATTTGTCATGTTTATAAAAGTAAATTTCAATCATGGGGAACATGTAAAAATGATATTTTTTAGCTTTCAACAAATTTTAAGCCGGACCCTCTTACTAGAGTTAAGTTATTTAAGTTATTTTTAAATACTGTTTGTTAGAAATGTGGTTGATCTTTATTGGCAACCAATAACATTCAAGTCATAATAGTTGAGATGATTTGTCAAATGATTACGATATTACCCCTAGTGACGTAGGTAACCCTCTTGAACGTAATTTCCAAAGTCTACGATCAATAACTCTATTGGTAAAATACTCTCACTTGTAAGTTTTTACTGAATGCAAATAGGTTTAAGGTGCCAACTTTAGTTTCTGCTGAACAATCTGCATTATCTGTGTGTCTACAGTAGATCGCAGCACACCAACGCATCGCCGCTGTCCATCCTGTCCAGCGAACACACCTCCGAAGAGCAATCCTGCCACCACGTGCCTCTCTCCCAGAACACTAAACCACCCTCGGGTATGTAAACTCTAAACCACCCTCGGGTATGTAAACTCTAAACCACCCTCGGGTATGTATACACTAAACAACCCTCGGGTATGTATATCGTACACTAAACCACCATCGGGTATGTATATCATACACTAAACCACCCTCGGGTATGTATACACTGAATACACTAATCCACCCTCTGGTTTGTATACAATAAATACACACTCTGGTATGTATACACTAAACCACCATCGGGTATGTATACACTAAACCACCCTCGGGTGTATAGACACTAAACCACCCTCGGATATGTATACACTGAATACACTAATCCACCCTCTGGTATATATACAGTAAATATACCCTCTGGTATGTATACACTAAACAACCCTGGGGTACGTATACACTGAAAAACCCTAGGGTATGTACACTAAACAACCCTCGGGTATGTATACACTAAACAACCCTCGGGTATGTATACACTAAACAGCCCTCGGGTATGTATACACTAAACCACCCTCGGGTATGTATACACTAAACCACCCTCGGGTATGTATACACTAAACAGCCCTCGGGTATGTATACACTAAACCACCCTCGGGTATGTATACACTAAACCACCCTCGGGTGTGTATACACTGAATACACTAATCCACCCTCTGGTATATATACAGTAAATATACCCTCTGGTATGTATACACTAAACAACCCTGGGGTACGTATACACTGAAAAACCCTAGGGTATGTACACTAAACAACCCTCGGGTATGTATACACTAAACAACCCTCGGGTATGTATACACTAAACCACCCTCGGGTATGTATACACTAAACCACCCTCTGGTATGTATACATTAAATACACCCTCGGGTATGTATGTATACACTAAATCACCCACAGGTATGTATACACTGAATAGACTAAACCACCCTGAGGTATGTATATACTAAATACACTGAACTACCCTGAGGTATGTATACATTAAATACACTAAACCACCTTCGGGTGTGTATACAATAAATACACTAAACCACCTTCGGGTGTGTATACAATAAATACACTAAACCACCTTCGGGTGTGTATACATTAAAGTACACTAAACTACCCTGAGGTATGTATACAATAAATACACTAAACCACCCTCAATCATCGTAAAGCCCATAATAATACTTATATAGTAACAGATACAGTAATATATGATTTAAGAATGTGTGGACAAATAGATTTTGTACTGCAATTTTGATAAAAAAAAATGCTGTTATGAATGGAAACTGTATAAAGACAAACTGTTGTATTACCAACATTTGGTAAAATTTTAAAGAAAACAACCAGAGAGGAATGGTTCTAAAAAACCGTATTTTAACACACAGATAAACAAATCTTCCATAAATTCCAATAACTCATTACTTTGGCAGATCAAATTTAGTATTCTCGTGTTCACAATAGCTTTGATGTGAGAACTCCCTGTTTGTCCAGGACCCAGTCCCGACGTGATATCACAGGAGGCCTTCATCGCGGAGATCAAGAGGCTGAGGGAGCGTCTGGTGACTCTGGAGACGGAGAACGCAGCCCTCAGCATGAAGCTGAGTCAGCAGCAGTGGGAGGTGAGTGCTGAGGAACATAGCTCTCAGGATAATCGGCAGCTGTAGCGAAAGCGAATAGTGTTTTTGATGGAGCATTAATAAATAGCAATAACTGTACCTATTCAATGTCAATAACTATCTGATGTAGCCTAACAGAAAAGACGATAGCTTTTTATATTAACTAATCAATCTTTGATATACTAATTTGACATTGCAAGTTTTGAATTTAAAGAATTTATGGAAGATGATGCGTTGAAGAGATCGCATTCCTATATCAAAGTTGTATCCAGTTTTAGTATGTAAATGAACGTATTTTAGTTTCACTAATCCGACAAAATGCTATTCCCAACTACTGGTTTTTGCCACTTATGATGCTAAGTAACCAAACTAAAAGTCAAATCACTGTAAACTATAGCATCTTTAAAATCTTATAGATAATCAAAGTATCAAAAACTAAGAGAGAAAATGGATTTTGTGTCGGCCTAGTAGTGAACTTAGTGAGTAGCTCCTATATTTTAATTGATCAGAATAAGCTGTGGATGATGTTTCTACACCTACAACCTAACCTAACCTCATTTACATCACCTTCATTTTAACAGGGCAAATATTAATAGTGGGAGCCCTTTTTTTGAAAGTACCCAACTAAATTTTGATTTAGAGTTGACGTAAGTCACGTTTCAGGTGGAGCATCGTCTAGCAGAGATCGAAATGCAGATTTGTGGGGCCAGCAGTGCTGACAGCAGTGCAGAAGACAACGAGAGAAACAGGGAAAGCATCATTTAACAAAGATGGCGGCGAGAAGACCTTCGATTGGTCAACAGGCGGGACGAGCTAGCCTCTTTAACTGTTTAAACTATACTTGACCAAGGATATTGACTCGAGTTATTTCCTACAACCTAACTAAATTTTAGTTACACCGTGGGTGGTATGGTGGTATAACCTATTGCATGGTTGTACATAGAGCACACACATGGGGGGGGGTTAACTCATTGTTGTCACCACCCCTTAGCAATTACTTGCTCTACACTAGGTAAATGGAACTGTGAACTTCCATTAATTCAGAAATCAATAACAAGATGGTACTTTTATAAACTTTTACCAACAAAACGCATTCCCTGCTGTTAGTGCAACGTTATATTTTTAGTTTTGTTTTTGAATGATATTAATATTACAGTTTCTATGTAACTTTTCAACTTAAATACTGATACAAAGAATGAATAATATTTTATGTACAAAGGTTGACAAAAAGAAAAATCTGTTCAATTGTTATTAAATAATTATGTATGTAGCTTGCTTGAAGTATGAGTCAATGGGAAAACTATTTTGGCTGAAGTAACGAATTAAAAGGATGTTTGGATTACAGCTTGTAAAATACGATAATTTATATTTGTTTTAGTTTTTAAAGACTTTTGTGCCACAAGTATAAATATTGTACTGTAAAGAAGAAGTATTTGTACCTGGATATAAAATACACTTATTTGCCTGGACGTGTTGCTGGTTATAGCGGGTTAAGCACTATGGTTATTTGTACAGCCAACCTTCTTACGAGTCTGAGAATTTTTATCTCATCGTCTATCATATATTTAAAAGTGGATTCGAAGATACTTACAAAGTATTTTTATAGGTTATTATTTCAAACAACCAAATAATCTAGTAGGCTGTGCGATGAATTGGTTAGTAGAAAACTTCAAGTACTACAATTTCTTTTTCATAGTATTACCAAACGGCTGTTTCATCATAAAAATATTTTTATTTTATTTTTAAGCACTATGCAGCAGGGTCAACTAATATTTTAAGTAGAACTTTTTTCCGGTTTAAGAATCCATCTTGCTTCCAAACTGGCCTAAATGTACAGAAAAACTTGGTTGTTTATTGTAATGTTAGGCTTCATACTAATGGCTTTATACAATTTAAAACCCTTAAAGTTAAATCAACCACAATTTGCTTAGTTCTCTTTTGCAAAGGATGGTGTGAATTTATTGCGATTGAATTTAAAATTATTTATTTTATGGAACGGAAAACATAAATGTTAATTAATGTAACATTTTTGGTATTTTTTTAAATTACTTATATACATTTTCAAGGTCAGAGTATGAAGCCCCTGACAGATATTGCTAGTGTCTCATTGTAGTGAATGTCAAGATTCTTCTCAAATATAACCCCAGAAAGTCACTTGCTAAAACTCTGCTTTCGGGGCAAAATATACACGTTCATATGACGAATTTGGATTTTCCATTCCCTGACATTTAGTACAGTAATTACAAGAACAGTTTAATTGATTTTCTAAGCTAACCAAAATTTTTTTAAATTCCTGGAAAATTACTAATACACAGTGATATTTAAGTTACTTTGTGAGTGTAGTTTATCCACTAAGATTATGAAAGCAGATTTTAGCAAGTGACAACTTCACAAACCTCAGCGAACGTTATCAAAAGTTCCGTGCTACGTGTTCAATGTAAATAGTGTTGTAAATAAAAAAGAAAAGATCAATTTTCGTATTTTTATTCTATGTGCTTTTAGCTAGGCGAGCATTGTATATTTAAAACTCAGTTCGACTTTCTTAAGACGGGTTTTGAATTTGCAAGTACAACATTAAATCATTTATCATGATAATTTATTTGCACCACATTGATTCATTTAGTTTGGAACGTGTTTTGATGGCTCTTCATCCAAATGTGTATTTCAGTTATTAAATCAATGCCAAAAGTCAATTATGCGATTTGAAATTTTAAAATTCAATCCCGTCTGAAGACTGTTCGAATTGTTAACATAATACAACTAAAACAATACAATTACCATTACTGATCTAGTTTGCCATTTTCTCATTTTGTAGAAATATTTTTTAAGTTATTACACCAAACCAAAATCGCTGTTACAAAGTGGGACCAAAAAATTGATTTGCGATTCTGGCACATGCAGAATCACTCGAAACGAGGGTATTTTAGTGAATGTAAATTAAGGAAGAAAACTCGAGTATCGTGGTCGCATACATTTAAATAAACTTTAGTAATCCTAAATTTAAAGATATTCAATTCTTAGTTAATTATTTAAACATACTTTATTTTTTCCTGAATACAATTGAACTCAAAACCCAAAGAACGTCAATTCATTGAATATACTCCATCGTGGAGTGTCAAAAGGTTGTCGCAACTACACATTTTTATGAAAAATACTACAGTTTGTGGGGCGAATAAAACCAAAGTTCTGTAAAACATTTCGTTAGGATTAGAGTTTAATTTTTCATTAGGCAAACACTACGAGTTAAATATTTCTTCTCTTCTTCATCTTACTATCGATTAGATTTTAGATACAGATCTCGGGGAAAATACACAACCTTGGGTTGTCAAGGAGTTAACTCAAACTCAGTCAATTTAATCAGCACCTCTGGTATATTTTACACCATAAAAAATTATTTAGCTTTATTAATTTTATTCGTATCCGTGGTTAACTACAACACATCTGATATTATTCATACTTAACCGATTTTTCTCCTGAACAGTAACCCGGTTGTCTTTTTTCCCCGAGACGTTATTGCACATCTATGCAAACTCTTTCGTAGTTAATCTTATACTCTTTTATAATCCCATTTAATATAATGTTTTATCTAGCTTACATTTCCAACATTCAATTAGTTGTATGCATATGCTTTCGATCGGTCCGATTAAACAAAAACTAAACAAACGATAAGTGACTGTACGTGGAAAGATGTCAGTGTGTTAACTATTGATAAAAGACGTTAAAAACAGTTAATAAACGGGAAAGTTAAGTATTGTTGGATGGTTTAGCCTAGAAGTTATGTAGTGCCATATTCTAAACATGTTGTGGATGAAAGTATAGAATTGTTGATCTGAGCAAATGATTTTATCTTGTTGTACGATGGACTCGATAAAGAATTTCCACTCGTTTTAATGGATTTGTACATTTTTTTATCGCTCAGGTAAAGCTAATTGTAAATAATTAAGTAATTAATAAATAAATAAAGTTTATATTAAAATATATGCATATTGTTTTATTTACCTTTTCGATTATGTAAACATTAGAAATATTGAAGTTGTAATATTTCCCATGGATGCATTTTAAGGAATAGATATATGTCATTTTGGAGGTTTTTTTTGTTATACATTAAATGACCATGTCTGCAAACTTGAATAACTATTAGTGCACTACCGAAACGTCCCAGATTGCCACGAAAGTTAGAGCACGGATAAAAGATCTATTTTCTTGTCTGAAATCCTAGTCAGATTTATTTTTTTGTACTATTTTGTTTCCGATAAAGTGGTTACACAGTTAAAAATTTTATATTTGCTTTGTATTGTACCGATGGTAGTTAGTTTTTATTTGAAATAACAAAACAAAATCAATATTATTTAATCATTGGCTAGAAAGATTAAGAAAGAGTGGCCAGCAGTTTAGAAGTTTTAGTTTTGTAGGGTTGGTAGTGGTTAGTGATAACTAGGTTCAACTTTGTCAGTTTTAAGTTCACTGGAAATATGGTCATCTAAGTTGTGGTTGCTGTAGAAAATTGTAAGTAGTTTTAATATTGTTTAGTAATAAGATTTTAGCTGATTTATTGTATATAGCTTTGTAGAAATCACTTTTGGAAAAAGATGAAAAGGAATGAATAGTTTTCAAATCAATTTTATTGCATTTCACAAGAAAAGAAAACAAGTAAAGTTTATACGGACCTGTTGAGTTTTGTTCTAGGAGAAGCACATTTTCACAAGAAGTTGTAAAGATCTTAAATCTACTTTTAATTATTAGAATTTATAGAGAATAGTTTTTATTGGGTTTGTGTGATGTTTTCAGACAGAAATCAACCACTTCTTGGTACTACCACTTCTTGTTCACCTTCTTATGATTGGTCCAGTAGCTTTTTGCACCACATCTAGTTTGCATGGTATCTGCTAGTGCCAGTTCTGACCATTAAACCAGTGTCTCTGTTTAAAGTAAGATCTTTCCACTATTTTATTATTTAGTATAATTTTTGGAAGTAGCAACTGGATATTTAATTTCATTTGGAAAGTGTATTTTGAGAAATTTGACATCCGTAAAATAAATGCATCTTTGGCCTACTTTGTCTTTTAATTTATCTCACTTCTACTACCAGCTTAAATTAGATTCATCCTAAATTAAAGTATACTACCTAATTGGCTACAAGGTAGGGGTATACAAGTGCGCCACTCTGCTTATGAATCATTTAAAATTAGAAGCTGGTAAAAGTGAGAAATACATAGGCCTACATGATTATTGAGGATTATGCCTATGTTAGGAGAATTACAGCAAACAAGTAGAGGCTGAAAATTTTCAACATGTCAAAATACAATTTAAATTATCTAAACAAAGAAGAACTTCTGTACGAGATAAGAATAAGAGGGGAAGAAACGAGTGATAGTGATGTAGACTCTTTAAGAAAAACTTTAAGATCTTGTATTAACCAGAATACCGATTTAACAAATTTAAAAGGTTCATACACTTTATCTGGGGAAATAACTATAATTGGGGAAAAGTGTGAACAAATTGATTCTCTAATTGAACAGTGTAGGGAAAATGTGACTAAACTCAAAATAGCTAAAATCAAGGCTAAACTAGTGCATGTACAAAACCGGACTACTAATCTATTACAATGTAAGCTGGATCCAGATAAGAAAGTTAGTTTAGACAAATTAAATCAGCAAATCTTAAATAGTTTTGAGCAATTTAAAACAATGCATACCTTCTCAGACCAGGAGATGGGGGATTTTGAAGAGGAGCTGAATAACTCTATAGTTGAGCAGGAAATAATTGGGGACAAATTAAACCAGTCTAAATCTGTAGTTCCACCAACTGAAAACTTCACTTCATCAACACCTCAAAAAGTAGAAATGGATTGTTTTCAACAAAATGTGCCGGGTCAAGTCATAAATAATCAACCAAACTCATGTACAGTTGTAAATAGTAGCCTAAGTCCTAGTAGCCTTTTTACAAAGTTGTCAAACCCATTGGAAATTTATTTAAAAAATTTTCCTGTGTGTAATGGTTTAGAAACAAACACATTGTTGCAGTTTTTGAGAAACCTAGTTACTGTCCGTAATGAAACTTCTTTATCTGAGCAAGATTTGTATGAGATTCTACCAATTTATTCTACAGCACCATTAGTGAATAAAATATTAGAATTCAAAAGGGAATCAAAATCAATTGATTTGTTGCATGCTAATATAATCACTACATTTTTGCCAATCACCTTAAGGGAAAAGCTGAAACAAGATTTAATATTTCGACCTCAAAAACACCTTGAACCTTTGTCTATATATATGCATGAAATAAAAATAAACCACCAGGTATTAAAGTGTGATTTAACTGAGAGTCAACTTGTTAGTTTTATTAAGAATGGAATACATCCTGATTTGCGCAACAAACTAATATTTGAGAAGAACCCTGAAACATTTTTAGACTTAGATCATCTTTGTATAAGTTTAAATAATGTAACATACAATGATTACCTCAGAAATCAAGGTTTTCCAGTTAGTAATAGTAGTGTTAGCAAGCCTTATCTATCAACTGATGATAAGCCTAGGATGGATAAACCTAACCCAGGAGTTCAACGACCTAAAAGTCACTACTCAAATCGTAACAATGAGAGGCCTGTTTGTTTCAAATGTCAAAGAGTAGGTCATATTGCTCGTAATTGTTACAGACCAGATCCAAAAAACTAGTTAAGCCAGGAAAAACACGTAGCCTAGACTACAAATCTGTTTTTCCGGACGGCAAGAAAGAATTCGGAAATAATAAACCTGTATATAGTTCTCATAGTCCCAATTTTAAGTCTGAACTGAGAAGAGTTGTTAAGGATTTTAATAAAATAAATTCACCTGGATTAAAGAAAGTAAAAGCTAAAACTGTAACACATTTACCCTGTATTTCTGTGGATTTAGGAAACAA